ATTTAAAAGCCTCATTGACAGGTAATGGGCCCAGGCATAGATACACGTTAAAAGTTTTAAACGCTTTTTCTGAGGCTAAAATACTTATCGAGTTCAAGATGAGTATTACTTCTGAGGATATCTTCCATGTTATACCCAATGCTACACCAGTTTATATAGAACCTGCTGGAGTACCTGGCATAGAAAAATTGAAAGTCATAAAAAAAATTTGATAATTGGACGTTCCAAATGAAAATGCTTCTAATTGATTATGGTCTCTGGAAGTGTGTTCTTGGCCAGGATCATGATGCTGAGAAAGATCAGAGGGCACTTGCAAAAATCAGTCTTTCTGTAAAGTCCGTTCGTGGAGCTAAATCTTCTGGGATAATTTGAAAAAGGCATTGCAAAGTGCTGGTTTAAGCAGACAATTATTTTTAAAGAGAAAACTTTATCGAACTCGGTTTGAAGAGTATGCTTCCATGAACGAATATGTAAGTGGTTCTCAAAATAGCGGACATAAAATTTATTATGGACGATTCTGAAGTAGGTATGCTGCTTTTAAGTGGACTTCCAGATTCTTATGAAACTTTGCTTGGTGGCTATGGAGGTACTCATACCACAATTACGACTTCTAATATTAAAAATACTGTTGTATGCCATGAATGTGGAATCGAGGGTCATATTCGTCCAAAATGTCCTAAATTAAAAAACAAATTTAAATATGCTAAGGGCAAGTCAAATCAATCAACTTCTGGAGGTAAATCCAAGAACAAGGAAAATGTACTTCTTATTTCAACTGCTTTTGCTGCTGGTTCTTTTGATGATAATTCATGGTATATTGATAGTTGTGCCAATAACCATGTGAGCCCTCGATGTAATTGGATGAACAATTTTAATCCAGATTGTGTTACAACGTTTTTTACAGTAGATAAAAATACATTTGGCAGTAGTGGTTCTGGTGATATTTCCATTGAACTAATTCTAAAGATAATACTAGTGATACAGGAACCATTACAAATGTTATGTATGCACCTAATGCAGCAGCCAATTTAGTATCGTGTCAGCCAAATAACAAGTAGAGGTATTTTTTTGGTTTTAAATGAACATGGTTTTGAAGGTTATTCTAAGGAAAATTTTAAAGTTCAAGGATTACTTAAATTACAGGGTCCAAAGTTAATGGAATTTATAGTATAAATCAACCACCTAAACAAGAAATTACTAGAAATGTTGCAATGTCCCTTAATCAACTAGTAACACAAGAGACTTGGCATAAGAGATTTGGCCACTTAAGTAACAGAAGCCTAATATTATTAAAAAATATTGTTGACGGTATGGTATTTAGTGACAAAAATCCAACTTCATCCTGCATTCCTTGTAGCAAACAAGAAAAGGATTTAAACCTTTTAAATGAAATAGTTAATTAATGTCTTTATAATTTAATATATTATATATTAAAATACAAACTTAATAAATTATTTATTTATTACTTCCTATTGCCCAGGTTCAATTCTATAACTACTAAAGTAAGTTTTAAATTGGTTTCCAATTTCTATTTGGTTATTTTAACTTCAGTTAACTGTACACTTTTGGAAGCTTTTTGTATGAACACATTTGATCGCCATCTCCTGATATGATTTATATACTGTATTTTTACAGCAAGGTAAAATTATCATAGCACCTCTTCCTGATGTTCTAAGTTAATATCTCTTTGTACGGTTTCTATTCTCGGAAGAATGTTATAGGTCATTTTCTACCATAACAGATACAATTTTCTAAATCCCCATTAAAATCAATCACAGTATCATTCATTTTAAATCTCACAGTTTCCATCTAATTTTCATTATTTTTTATTTAAAATGTATGTACATATACAAAACGGTAATCACACCGAAATGTTCAACTTACCAACCAGATGGTCATAATTTTTAATTACATTGATCTGCTTATTCAGCCTTATTTCTGAAATGGCATAATTCCTCAAAACATTCTTAATTTTGATACCTAAAATTTGAAATCGAAGGATAACACTTATGTGCCATAAAGATGAACATATATACCAACTCTTCAAACCACCTGCAAAGACTGGTTCCCTTTGGTTCATGTTGCGGTTGAAATCGAGTGGTTCCGATTTTGACAGGAACGCGGTGCATTACACTAAAATGAAAACACCTATAGGGTTTCGTCTGTTTTGTTCTGTTTTGTCAATCTGACTTTAAATTTTATTTGAGGGTGTTTTTCAACTGGTTACTTGACACTAATCTGACAAATTCAGCCTAGTTCAGATACGACTAGTGATTCAGTCGAGTAACGAGTAATTTAGTCGAGTAGCGAGTATCCACTAATCAATTGTCTTTCAAACCAGTTTAGTTAAGTTTAAGTGCAAGCGCCAAGTGATGGTGTTAAAATGGACAGGCAAACTACTGCATTTGGCTAAACGCACGCGTCCAGACTTGATTTAGTGGCAGTTCAGCAGTTATCTGCACGTGGTGTGGAATTCTACTCGACCGTGAAATAGAATCGGATGGATCCAGTTGACTACTCTACTAATGTTTACTGTTTGCACGCATTAAATTACTAAATTACTAGCCGTATCTGAACTAGGCTTTACATTGTACTAGTTTATTATCTGGATAGTAAAAAGCAGGAGAGTAGCAAGTAAAGTTGAAGGTGTCTTAACTTTACTCACACTAGCCAAGCTACTAGCGAGTTTTAGGTATATCCAAATATATTACCATTGATCTCGCCGGCTAGTAGATAGTAAACTCACCCAGTGTAATACATACTTTACATATTGATAACTTCTCTTCGTCCCCTGGCGTAGTTTTGGATAAATAATAACTCAATATGCCGGAATTTGTCAACATAAACCGAAAGATTAGTTTTAGGTATTGGACATATTTTTAAAAATCTATTGGGTATATTTTTAAAAATCTAACTGAGTATTCGAAAAAATGTCTATGTAGTTCTTATCTTAAAATTAAAATAATGAGTAAAACATATCATTTATTTATTCTTTGTATTATCAGCATTGCTAATATGGATTTTTAAATACATTTACAAAATTGTCATTTATTGATACACCTTCTGGTACTTTTTTTAACACTACTTCTAATTGTTTTCACTAGTAACGGTCACTTCTGCCACATAATGGTCGCGTTAGTCGCGACAAAATTGACATGTACTGTTTTTTAGAGGTAGAAGTGAAAAATAATGTTCTTAGTCAAAAGGCCCGGATAGGATAATTTCTGGTATAAACAATACCAAGCCAAAATAAATCTATTTAATATTTAAAAGAGCTAGAGTCATTATTCGAAGTAGCGAAATATATTTATTTAGACTATAAATTATTTGTATATACCTGTCGTCGCTAGGATTCGAACCCAGACATCTTTGTTCTGTACACAAATGCTCTTACCGCTAGACCATAACGACATGGACTGTCCTAGACGGCAATTTGATGTGCTAATTCGGGCCAAGCGTCGTTTCAAGCTCGTTTTTATATCTTCAAATACCTCTATACAGCATCAGTATATATGATAAATGCATTGATGCATACTGAGCCCATATCTTCGTCTGCGTGAGTTTTTAAGGTCTAGCGGTGTACAGAACAAAGATGTCTGGGTTCGAATCCAACCGGCGACAGGCTCTTTTCAAATCACCAAGTATGTGTTCGCACCTTTGAGGTTCGGGAATGGTCTTAATAATTCGTAGGGGGATTTTTGAGATTTGTTTCCGAATTTTCAAATTATTCTACAACTTATTTCAGACAATTCTGACCTTTCGGATTTCGATTTGCGATCTACGATATATTAATTCACAATTTTTATAAATTATTTGTTGAAGATATTAATTACTATTAAAGATAATCCAGGTACTTAATATTATATTTTAATACAAAATATATTTGATAAGAAAAGATATTTTTTGAATTTTTATTATGGATTTATACCTCTTAAATCTAAATATAACTCTAAATACATTAACATAGGTTGTAGTAGAATAGGTATAGAATAGTGTCTAGTATAGTAATTGTGGTAGATTAGGGTAAGTTAGAATAGCTTAGAAATTGGTTCGTGTTAAATCGCGTATATGCGTCAAATACAAAGCAAGTCAAACGTGCCTGAAAGACTGGTACGCACGAACTCATTATCTTGCACGAACTTGTCCACGCTTATTGACTTGCTGAGTTTTTTTATCTTGTACGAAATTGTGCACGCTTATCGACTTGTTAAGTTTTTAAAAATACAACAATGATACTTCCTAGTTTCAAATAAGAACTGTTAATTAATAGGGATCGATTTCTAGACCTCGTCGACCCCCAAAATCAGTTTTCGTTTATGTCGACCCCTGGCAAACCGATTTCGACCCCAAGGGGTCGGTATCGACCACTTTTGGCATCCCTGGTTTAGAATATGGAATAGGGTAGTAGGCTAGGCAATAGAATAGTGTAAAATAAGGTAGTTTAGACTAGGATAGATTTAGGTATAATAAAACCCGTAAGTACATTCGAATATCTCGAAATAAAAGCTATTTAAGCAATTGAGTTAAAAATCCTTCAGATAAATAATAAATTTCTAAAACGCGTTTTTTACCAAAATATCACTTTATTTAGATGACATCTATTGAGGGTCATTTCGCCATTAGATGGAAAACTTTATTACCAGTTTGCCCCACTTAGAACTTCATTCTCGAGTTCATGGTTGTCTACCTCAAAAATTATTTTTGGAAAAATAATTTGTTTGGGAGCAATGGAAATTTGGCAAAACTGTCATATGTGATTTATTACATAAATTTCAAAAAACATAAAATATAAAAAAATGAATTTAACGGCTTCTATAGAAGTTTGCTATTTTGTTTAAGTATACAAGTATCAATTATAAATGATATCCTGCGTGTTTCTTCCAAATTTAATCAAAATCGCTTCATAAATAATAAAGATATTAAGTGCCACTTTATATACTTGTTGCATAAATAACTTTTTACGCTGTCTTCGATTTTTAATAAAGGATTTTTCGTTTTAGAGTCAAGCTTTGGCATTAACGAGAAATTGTAAAACTCCTCCTCCCACTTCGGGTACAAATGCCAACGAGAGATCCAACAGAGAATCAGCTGAACGAGATTTAACCCCAAATGCTGCTAGGTCTTCTACGTCTCTTGAAAATACCGTATCACCCCAATCGATCAAAGAAGATTTTGACTCATCAAAAAATTCTTCATCTGGTAAGTATTTAAATTAATGTCATATATTTTATAAAATTTATCTTAAAACTCCCTGTATATTATGCATTTTATAAAGCAATGGCAGTATTCTTAACTATGATTGGATATAAATTTTCCCCTCAGTAATAATTTGATTAATAAATCAAAGATAAAAACAGATCTAAGGCATTATTCGAATGAGATTCAGGATGATTAAGAAGAGCATTCATCAGAGTTATGTTTTCAATTTTTCCTTTATATTTGATAAAAGTAAATGTTAATCCTACGCGAGCTTTAATCTCCAACTTCCCGTCTCAAAGCGGGAGGAAAGGCCAGGGTCCCTCTAATCCCAGCTTCCTTTAATTCCCTACCTTCAGCTTAATCCAGCTTTAACTGGCCTACCAGCGGTGATCAGTAGCGTGCCAGCCGTTTCCTGCTATTAGCTGGTTATCTAAAACAGTAGCGGTACGGTATAAAGATACTGACATAATTACCTACAGTTCGCTTATCTGTTGTAGTTTTCAGATATTTTAGATTGGAAATATTGTTTCCATGCAGTTCTGCTATAATTTTACATTTAATTATTACTGATTCTGAATTGATTTTGATTCACCAGATAAATGTGAAAAGTATTAATTTTTAGCAAAAATAAATATTGAGTAAAAGCAGAATTTAGTGGCAAAAAATATCAGATATTTTTTTTCTAAGCTTAAATTTTACAAAGAGGCAAAGTTTCAACGGAAAAAAATGAATACATAATGTTTTTTTAATTTAATATTTATTTCATCAAAACTTTTATTTTACATTTTCTAAAACATTTGATATTCCTAAAACTTTGCTATAGGAGTTCTCCTCCTTTACAATAGTAACCCAGCTCACGTGCTAGCGCGTGGAACCTGTGTAACAGGTCTACAGTAAGGTTGAAACTATGATTTATGGAAACCACGAAAATCTACATCACGATACTGTATAATAATTAGATAATGTAATTTGGATGGGTTGGTTAATCTTATAGATAATGGGGCTGAGTCCAGCAGATCCTAGAACTCAGCGGGGAGTGGGAGGTCTTGAGAGTCCAGGAGTAAACGCTTGTTAGGTTAGGGTAGTTTTCTATTCGGTTTGTGGAATAGTGGGAGATGTCGAGCGCCGCCAGGGGGTTTGTAGTGTTTTTGGAATGTGTGTTTGAGCCTTTTAGAGTGCAAGAGACGTATTGTTTTCCGAAGGTTTGGAAACAGGAGAGAATGGGGGTGTTTTCGAAAACTTATGGGAGAATGAAAGGGAAGATATTGACATCGATGGAGGATAGGTCTCTCGAAAGTAGTGAGTTTGTAGTCTAAATGTGTTATAGTACACCGAAATGTACTGCTCTGTACTTGGCAACGGGGCAGATAAAAGAATCATAGGTATGAATTAGAGTGTTTGGATTGCATCGTCCAAATCGTCCACGCAAAGTTCCAAAGATACTGGCTCGCCGTCGCATCTGATCAAGAGTGCGTTGGATATCAGAGGACCAGTTGAAAGTATGAAAGAATCGCATTCCCAAATAGTCAAATTCAGTCTGTTCGGCAAGTGTGACTCCCAGGAGATTTACATTAACGTTCTGGAGTAGCTGGGTAGTTTTTTTGTTAGTTGGGATGTTTAAAAAGATGAATTGAGTTTTTTGTGGATTAACCCTCCATTTGGTATACCAACGAGAGTACTGGTACCTATGTTCATAAGGTTTTTAAATAATCCAGCATACCACACTTGGATCAAAGGCTATCTGAAACCGAGTTGAGATTGAGTAATTATGTTTCGTTCTTCACAAAAGTCCTAGATTCTATCCTTGAGCAGAAATTCAAGGAATAAACCTAATATTGATATGAGGGAGAGAGGACGCTATGAGTCTAAGGATTTGGTGTCTTTGCTTGGTTTGGGAATTGGAATGGCTTGGCGGATTTTCAAGCAAGTGAGAAGTATCATAGGGAGAGGCAACTGTTAAGTAGTAGGGTAAGGATGAGAAACATGGTTTCAGGAAGATGTTTTAATGTTCTTTTGTGTATAGAATCGGGCTTGTTTTTGCGTAACTGGCAGTCATATTGGATGTTTTGGAAGATGAATGGGACAGTGAGAAGGTTTTCGTCATCCAATGGTTGGACTGGAGCGGCAAGTGCCTGATGTACATTGAGTTCGATTTCGTGTCGGTCCTCAAAGTTGGGATTATCAGGGGTTCTGAATATGGCTTTATTGTGTGTCTGGTGAGCGTAGACTTTCTCATAGAGAATAGTGTATATTTTACCGTCTATTTCAATGTGGGAATATGTTTTGTATTTTTGACCAGTAATGATTCGGAATATATCCCAAAACTTGGAACCAGCTCTATGATCCGAATTTAAGGTGGTATTGAACCATTGTTGCTATTTGTGTAACTTTATTTGGAGCCTGTTCAGGGCATTGAGATGGTTCCATTCGGTTTTGATTACAGGGACGTGCTCACGAACATATTGTCTATACAATCGGCGGTTTGGGAGAACAAGATTTTGGATGAATTAAAGGCACTATACTCAAAGTTACCTGAAAATTTTATTTTTTCTAGACGTACTACATTCGTACTTTAGGTATTTTAGTGAATTTACTCCACTTAATACAAAACCGGAGATACTATTATGTACCTCTATTAACATATATACAGTTTATATATAAAATACGTGTTCATATGAAATAAACTTTGCTAAAAAAAAATATAAATGAAATATGAAAACAACGAAGGATTAATTTTTTATCTTATTAGGTCAAAACTAAAAAGTTGGAAATAGGAAGTCTATCTAATTGCTTTTGAAGAATAAGCTTTAATGAGACGCGAATTATATGTTTTGTTGAATGTTACAAATCATGTAATGCTTTTAAAAATTTTGGTGCTTTTAAAAAGTGGATTTACTAGTTTTTTTTATGAAAAATTATAATCATTATCGATGGTTCAGAAATATTTAACCAACTCAATTAATTTATAGATCGAGTAAGATATAGGATTCCATTTTATAAAGTTTGCTAAATTTGAACACGGAGCCAGTGTGTGCTTAAAGTGATAGATAGTTATTTATTTATTCATTCTATTTACATTAAAATATTTTTTATTGAAGGTTGTCTTAGAAATAAATGTTTATTACTTAAATGTAGCAACATTATAACAATTTCCAAGTACAATATGAATTTGGATTAAAACTTAAAAAACACAATGATTATTATAATCTGGGTAAAGTTACAAAATGGTTATAAATTTCACTAAGTTGACATCTGGATTGGGATTTTCGTAATAGAAAATATGAAGTGATAAATAATCTTTTATATAATAAGCTTTATCTTAGCATTAATTATCTTGTATATTTTTACTTAACAAATGAGTTTATCTGATTTATTTAAATATCCAGCTACGTTTTTCATATATTATTCTTAAGCTTTCGCAAATAAGCCTAATATTAATATTTGTCATAAAATTGGAACAAAAAAACTCGACCTCGCATTTTCTTACACAAAAATGTAATATAGTTAATTTAAGTAATGACTTAAAGGCAAATCAAAAGTCACAACATATAAATTAAGATAAATTTATTATAATTTATTTTAATGTACCAAGAAATTGCTTTTCGAAAAAGATCATTTCTCGTTTTAGCTACTCTGTGTAACCAGGGTGTAGATAATTTTTAGAATATTTCATTTGCATGCCTTTATGCAAAAATATAAAATGTCAATGTGACAAAATATATTGTTTGCATAGAAGTTTAGTATTCCACAGGGAGTGCTAAAAGTTTTTCTCAAAACTTATAGTACAGGTGTCAAACATTATGGACCGATCTTCGATATTAGGATTTTTGGTCCTTTTGCAAAGGTTTTTTTTACTTTCTGTCTTTATAAATTGTTCATTCATAAATTTAGAATTAATATTGTTTAAAATCATTTTAACAATATACTCGGCATACATCCAGAAGATTAATTTTATTTTGTTAAATTAATAGCTAATATTGCTATGACTATTATGTATTATAATCCATGATTGTTATTTTTCTACTTGACTATAAATGGCGAGGGGTCGACATATGGGCGAATGTCTGCATACCTGATCCGATCATCGTTTTTGGATCGGCTGTACAGACTATCCGGTGCAGCCGTTTCATCAATCATGAGAAGATAATCTGCTTAACGCCACACTATCCTCTTCAATCCGTGCCAGCGGGGTGGTGGGCGGCAGAGGCAACATTGCGTCGGTAGGATTAGCCTTTCCGACTCCACGAGTGTTCTCACAATTCACATTTTACAAGAGTTTTACGTTTTAGTCCACTCGGATTTTTCATAGAGGGCGTTATGCATCTAATATACAGGGTATTAGGGAATATCGTTGCTGATTTTGAAAATTACATTCAACTCAATTTAATTCAATATACCTACTTACTGTTTCTAGAATTATATAAATTCATAATAAGTGTGCAATACACTAAACTAGAAAAAAAAACAAATAGATCATACTAAAAATTATAAGTTGAATTCAAAAAAGTGTACATTTCTGTTAAAAGAAGGCACTTAAAAAACTACTTAAGACCCAACTCAATTTTGTTTGACTAGTAATACAAGACGTCACTTTAAATTTCTATTTCTTTATGTCAACAAATATGTAACACGATTTAATAAAACGTGTGTCATTAATGAATATGTGGCGGCAACTGACGGCAACACTGTCAGCTACTAGAGTACATACAGGTCCGGTATAAGCCATATAAATGGAAAATAGTAATTAAGATGTTTTGATTGAGTTAAATAAACTATCAAAATTAAATATTTTTATTTTTAAGTAAACGACATTTTTAAATGTGTACGTCTTCAATCAAAAATAATATAGGCTAATGCTCAAGTGTAAACGAGTGTACTGGACAAGAGATAATATTACACTTTACTTGAGTTTCTTGTAATAAACCATCGATCATTGTAATGAAGCCAGGGATAAAATAGATATTTGTGTACCAAGGCTTTGTTTTGGCCGAATTAGACAT